TTTTAAGGATCTGCAAATATCTGCTAGAACTCTGGCAAAATGCAGGTGCTAGGGTCCATGAATATTAATGTAGAAGAACAGAGCTCAGGCACCTGCAAAGCACTTAACATGTAGAAGATCTCTTTCTATACAGGCTACATCAGCATTTAAGTGCTAGATTATGTTTAGCCGCAGCAAACACAGCAGTGACTGCTTCATTTTCTCCACCTAACAGTTGCCTTCAGAGTTTAAAGACCCTTCTCCACTCAGCACTGAAATAGGAGCCAATTTCCATTCCCCTTCACAAATGCAGGTCCACATCTCCAGTCTAGTTTGTTTTCATACAAATTTTGTCGCTCTCATTTGTTCCAGTGTGACCACTTTTAGAGTAAAGGCTCTTGATTGAGGGCAGCAAAATATGATCCCCAGAGATTAGTCTGTGGCTAAATTGTGCCACTCTGACAATATATTCTTAGAGCATGAGCTTCTTGAGTGAATCAGAAAAAAGAAAATTAATTACATTAAATAATTCTATGCTTCAATTCCATAATTATATTTAACACCAGCATTATCATCAGCTTTCAAAATCAATGAAGGTTGATTCCAATGGAAGTGCTCTCACACTGAGTGCAGGGCCCTCGAGTACAGTATGACCTGAGATAATGTCAGTAGAAGAGGTTTATTCCCTCCATCTTTCCTCTCCTATAGGAACCTCATCCTTCCTTTTGCTCCCCCCATTAGCTTGATACAACTATTTGTGGTCACACTCTAAACTGGACAACTGAAAGGAACCACTTTAAAACTAAGACACCTTTTCTCTTAGGAAGAAGAGATTGGAAAGGGAGAAGCAACTTCTCAAACACACCAGAGATGGGTAACCTGAAGTCCTGACCCCAATGGCAGGCAGTCCACTACAGGGTGTGAGATATGACGCAGACCTTTAAAAAGCCTGCTAAAGGTACAACATTAAATGCCAGCCCTGTGAAGCTTGGAAAAAACAGGCTGTTGCTTGACAAAGTGCACCCAAATCCCTTCTCTGAGCTGTTCTTTAAAAATTAAATCAACGTAAAGCAAAGCTGATTTTAAAATAATGTTGTTTGTTAGAATAAACAAACAAAAACATAGTGAGAGAAGCAAAGGAAATAATTCTTAACAAAGAGTATCCTGTGATGTCTGTATTTCTATGGGAAAGGCCCTTGGCATTGCTGTGGCGAGAGCAGAGGATATTTTATGAACATATTCCTATAAAGAGAAAAGTATTCAAATTGGAAATGCCTGTTTGGCTGACTCTCCCCCTTTGCAGCTTGTGTACTCCTTCAGCAGATAACAGAGAAGACAGCTCTTGCTAGCAGGCTGCTCTCAACGTTTTCTTCATTAACTCTGGGAAAAATAAAAGCTCCATTCTACATTGTTTGATGGTAATTAGAAGCTGAATCATGCAATGCGTCAACCCTCCGATGTTCTCTGGGTGTTTACAGTTTATACTAGCATATTACACCTTGTTTTATTTAGGGCTTTCTCAGAAACCTATGCTATTACAAAGAGCGTAGTTCAGGGAGCTGGTGACATACTTAGAATATAATTGTGGAAAATATATTTTCATAAATTCTACAGAAGAGGAATCAATGTTAAAAAAATAATCTCAATGTCGCTGGCTATGTGGGAATCTTCTCAGTTCACAAAATAATGTGTAGATTTTTCACAGAATCTTCACAGTCAGAAAGATGAAGATTATTTTTCCTTGTCTCATTGAGGAGTTCTGGTAAATTCAGGGGCTACTAGTTTGGAATTAATGGTCTCTACCAGTGGAGGACAACTAGCATTTCAGTGTTAAGGAAGATCCCACATGGTCAGCAACCAGCTGTCTACACAGCAAGCCTTACAATACCATAAATACTATCTAGCTAAGAGATTCCAGAGACAGTATTACACTTCACTTGATATCTAGATTTGCTGTTTGGGATATATGAATGTATTAGTCATTTCAGATAGGTGTCCAAAAAAAGGATGAACAAAACTCTCTTTGGCTACCAGAAAGCAGGCTATTTTCATTTGTGCAAGAATCCTGATTTCCGTATCTGTCTTTTCTTTTACATCCCATGAATTGCACTTGGTTACAGCAGAAGTTGTGGTAGGCAAGTTAATTGAGACATATAACAGATAACAAATGCTCACATCAATCAGTGGACATTTTGTGTTGATCTGGAGTCACTTCATCTGTACAAGCCAAGCAGTCAGCATACCTGGAAAACTCTGAGAGAAACGAATGTACTATTTAAGTTAGGATGATGATTCAGTAACCGACACGCTTCTCTGATTTGGAATTCAACCAACATCTTGGCATGATGCTGTCTTTTCACTGCAAATAGCCTTCTCCTGCCTCAGATGGTACCCATCATACTTACATAGTCAAAAAATGAGCATGATAAGAACCATCACATGCAAAAATCTATAGAGCTCATTTTATATATAAAGTTGGCTGCTTGCGTTTCTTAGTATCTGTTTCACTCTTGGTTTTTTTAGGTGAAAATGTTATATTCCAGGTCTGATTCTCAAAGAAATATAATAGAACCTCTCCACTCTGTTACACACAGTCCCAAGGAAACTAGGAAGACAAGACTTGATGGTATAATAAATAGAGTTGGAGGCAGATCAAAGCAACACAGGCATTTTTCAACAAGATAGATGACAACTTTTCTCAAATGAAATCAGGGCTTGTACTTACTCTTGTGATGCTCAGAACATCTGCATTCAATACCCCACTTTTTTACCCTCTCAGTAGGACAGACGGTAATGAGGCTCTCAATCCCCAATGGCTTTCAAAAAGATTTAGGCACCTGTCTCACATTTGTTCAAGCCTTCTTTCTTCATGTTATTTCCAGCTATGACAATGTGCACAAAAACCAGGAGATTCCATTTGCCACTTTGCTGCCAGCTTGCAGTTTGCCCTCACATAAATTTGCTCAACCTTTGTATTCTTTTCAGCCACCCCATTAGTGAAGTAAAAAACCTACCCTATTAGTAATATAGTTAACACTTTTTAAAATGCTTTGAGATTGCAGTAGAGGTATATTATAACTATATGCATATCTAAAGTACCAACATTCAAAAATAACAGGAAAAAGACTTGTTGGTGGATTAACTACATATGATCAATGCCAAATAAAAATCTGTTCTGTTTTTGCTGAGGTCATTTAGTGCTGTACAGTTCTCATGAAATAAATATTTTTGGAAGTGCGGAATGCTCTGAGATTAAGCAATACATTACATTTTTTGATCAAATGCCAGAAGCCATAGGTGAATAGGAAACAGACATCAGTAATTACAGTTCGTACTTCAGCTATTTCAAAACCCCTTGCTTCAATGAGCAAGTATTAACTGGACAGACACTCCTTCACAAATTAGAGGTTGCAAAGGCTTATTACACACCATATTTATCTTTGAAACTTGTCCAACTGAATTAAACTAAAAAAAAAAAATAATGATACAGATTATGGTTGCAGGCAAAAAACTATTAAAACTAACAACTATATATATGTTATTATCTGTCAAACTGTCCCTGCAGCCACTCTTTGGTTTAGGAGCTCAGGAATGTGGTATTAAGAAATACTAGTAATTGTATTAGTATGCTGTTGTCAAACTGGCTGTATTTTAATCACAGGAGTTGATAAACAATTTATTTCTTGATCGCCTAGGCCTTAGAACACAATACATCTGCAAGAACATGAGTCTGGACTATCCCCAGTTGGGTGCAGAAATGAAAACGTATGAGCTCCACATGAGTGGGAAGTGTACAAGGAGCACCTACACTGCTTAGTGAAACACTGCACACAGCCACCAACTTGACATCGACCAAGCCTACTGCAAAATCAAAAGCAACCTAACCACCTCACTGTATTATAGTACCTGAGTAATAAACTTAGTTCAGAAGCTTTTCTGGCAAAGTTTGGCACATAACTGAGCTAGCTTTCCTCAGGCCAGGTAGCTCAGGATAGAACCCTTGTTCAAGGAATGATGGATAATTGTGAGGTCATTCCCCTTTTCAAAGTTAGGTTTTCTGTTAACTCTGGAGAACTGCACTTGGAAAGATAAGGTTTTTCCTCAAACGACTTAAGACTACTCATGATATTCAAGACAGTACCATGACTATAGTTGGAAGAAATAGGAAAGTGTGGCAGAGAAAAAAATTGGGCAAGACTAGTGCATTCATTTACGTTTTTCAAGGCTTCTGAGGGGTAAGACGGACCTTAGGCAAAGCTGACTTAACTGCTGCCCAACTCAAGATATCATCAAGAGATCTTAAAAAATACTTGGCTTCACAATAGATTTGTACTGAAATTAATAATTTAAGTACATTCCCCTGGATATATAATTTCAGCCAGACAAATAGCAAAAACTTTTCATTTGCTAGAATTATTACTACATCTCAAATTTAGTTCAGTATAAGAATTATATATTTAAGATGATTAAAAAGGTTTCAGTTAACGAAACTAGCATTTGGATTGTTTTAACACTGTTAAAAAACACAAAAAAGTTAAAGCTCAGAATGTAGTTTTACTTGTTTGGCCAAAATTCACATCACAGAGCAAAACTAAGGAAAAAAGTGTCAGGAATGTAAGACATGTTAGAATCAGATCCACAATTCAGGAGGATGTTTATTAAAGGTACAGTTATATGTTCATTTATTTATTATGTATTTCGATGATCTCTATAAAGCTGAATTAGGCTTCTGTATTTTCCATGTTAATCAGGTTTTTTTGATTATGGCATTAATTCTGGGAATTTACTACTGTTCTAAGCAAATACTTTAGGTGGATCAAAATACCTGAAACGTGATAATTTTTAAATTCATCACACATGTAACCCAATGCAAATATTCTGCATAATTCCTAAACAGTTATATTATTAATGACCTAACATAAAACTAATTGGTTGTATTAAGTGAAAAATATTACAAGTGGCTAGGTACACACTTCTGTGACACATACAGTGTGGCATGTTCTCAGACAATAGCTGTTTTGTGAGGGTCTGGATTTCTTTTATAGCACATTTTCATATCAAACAGCACAGATCCTTACAGTTAGATGAAAACCTTTGACTAATACATACTGTCACTATTAAAAGCAACTATTACAAGAAAGTGTATAGCATCTGTTTAATATATTGTATTTTAAATATTCAATAGAATACTTACGATGTTTTCAGCATAAAATTATCAGTATCATTCTGCTTTTCAGTATGTATCAAGCAGAAAGGTCAACTGCATAACACTCACCTGTCAGCTGCATAAAAAAACCAACAGAAATTACAGAGTGCCTATAAGTTTTGGGCAAGCACATTTGGAACTAAGAAAAAACCTTATGAAGGTTCATGGTGTAATCTTTTTGTTTATGCAAGTACACATGCAATTTACTTTCATAATCACTTTACTAAGAGATATCACTTGCTTCCCTCCACACCAAAAGTTTCTAAAGGTAATATAGTTTGTAAACCATAGTGTGAGATTTATGGTGTTATACTGCAGAAACCTGTTTAGCCCCTGATTTACAATCCTGGCAATTGTATTCAACTCTGTCATCATAACTAATTACAGCTAACTGCAGATTACCATATTGCAAACTCTCAATTTTGTGAAAGAAATATGATGTTCTGCTAAAAAAGAAAGAATCAAACATCCTGAGGGCTAATGAACAAAAATGCACTATTCCACATTGGACGGCAAACCTAAACTCTTCGAATTGGTGCCGTAAAACTTCAAATTGCTATTTGTTGGCAAGTTGTTTTAGCCTCAAGTACTTACATAGTAAATCACCATTACACTAATACCATACCTTTGGCCTGAAACATATTAATCTTGGTTAACAATAACTGACATTTACACTACCAATTAAATTCAGGCATTGTGGTGACTAAACATATGTGCAAGAGCTTCAGGGAGAAAAGTTACTAGTTCTGAATGTGTCCTTGCTTTTCACTGAGAACAATTTTGAAGAAACATTATCATCAATGTTTCTTATAATCTTAAAACATAAGCATTTAAATTCTAATTGATCTGTAAAACATTTGACTTGGAGTAAAATGTGCATTTGTTTCTTGGGTGCAGCTAACTGCACAACATATTTCAGATATTTTACAAGTTACCTATTTCTATACGTTATACATTCAAGGAAACTGGACTTTTAAAACCGGACTTCTTGAGAAGGAAAAGAAAATGGGAATTTGAAAAATTCTGAAGAATATGGCACCACAACATGATGAATAGTACCAGATCCTCCAAGAAGACAGAGGATGGACTTTTTCAGCCAATTTTTATATTTCTATAAAGTTTATGTTTACTACGCCCATAAATGCGTAAATAATAATGGTTTTAAACAGGTAGGGTGGTTTTCCTTTTCTTTATTTAGTGCCCCCTCAAACACTCAAGCTATCACAAAAGTAATACTTAGTGCATTAAATCTGTATAATCCCAGCAGGAAAACTTGTCCCTCTCCTTATACCCACACATTATAACTGCAGTGCAGCACAGAATGCACTTTGGACCAAATATTTTATTCCAACTTTAGAGTTATCCACCATACTCCAAATGACTTCTACAATGTATTATCTTAATTTTTTATATTTTGGAGCAAAATGCTGTATTTAACATAGTACTAATGTTTAGATAGTATTTTTGCTACATTATAAAAGAGAACAACAAATTAAGATACTGCAGTCTAATAGCGTTAAGAGAAACACAATATATTTGATGAGTTTTGTTTTTGTTTAGATTTAAAAAGTCACTCAAAGATTCCTCAGTTAAAAACAGGTATTTGAGTCCTGAGAACAGGATGGATTACATGTATCCCATATTGCTTTTTGTTTCCCATCTTTTCTTGGCTTCAAATCTGAAATAGAACACAAAAACCACATTAGGAACCCTGAGCACGTGTGTTTCAGGTATTCAACCATACTATTCTTAATAACAAAAATAAAAACTTATTTTTAATACTGTAATAAAACACAGGAAGGCAAATGTAGCCATATAACCAGTGCATCAATTCTGGTAAAGCCTCTGTACCTAACTGATACACTGCTAAAAAAAACCACAAAACCCCCCCAAACCCAACAAGGTTAAAAAAACCAAATGAGATTAGCACAAGCCTATTTCAACTAAGAAAACATTTAACTGAGATTGTATTGTATACACTTAGTGCCAATAAAACCACAACTGTTTAATTCCATACTCAAATGACTTACCCCCAAGCAAGCTTCTTTTTCTTCCGAGCTTCTTGGGCAGCCTCTGCTTCTTGTTTGGCTTTTACAAAGTTGCGGCAAGCAGCAGCCTTGGCAATTTTCACACCAAGCTAAGACATAAAAAGGAACAAAAGAAAACTGAATAGATGCAAGTGGCTTATATGAAATTTAAGCCTCACAAATTACATGGTCTGATATTGTTTCTAAAAAGTCAATAAATATTAAAATATCTTGCAAATATTAGGCTGATGCTGTCCTGCTAGATTGGACAAGCACAAATGTCTCAAGAGAAATACCAAGGAGTGGGATCCTGAGGTAAGCAATCCTTTTCACCAAATTCGTTTTCAAGAATAAAAGCAAAGGGCAATAGCCCACTAGATCCTTTTGTTTATTTTTTTTTTTTTTAGTAAGTGTACAGACATACACACACACACATGCAGTCTCTATTATTACAGCCAGTCTGTGACCTCAGCTGTGCTAACACAACAGTATCAGGTCTTACCAATACGAAAACCACCCAAAAAGACAGTTTTATAGAGGAAGGACTGCTACTACCACACGTATTCCAGTAGTACCAGTAGACATATTTTAATCAGTCTGTCCAGAAAGTAAATGAAGCAGTGTCCTTAGAGTCCATCTGGCATAGCCTTCACATTACTAGTGTTTAGACTATTAGTGTGATAATATTCACGCTTTTCAAATAAGGTCATAGTAGGCTGAAGGTGAATACTTTCATTATGTAGGTGAATACTTTCATAAACTTACACTGTGAGAATCAAGTTCACCTTAGTAAATGTCAAGGGGGGAAGGAAGAATAAAGCAAAAAAGATGGAGGAAGGTACTGTGAACTATGACCGGATTATTTTCCTTAATCAGCATCCATAAGTTGTTCATTGTAGTTACATTTTGTGATTGCTGTCATGACTTGACATTATCTGTGAAGAATTATGGAAGAATTTGGTCTCAAAAGTTACTGCTTTTCTCCAAGATAAGCATGCAATTCGTTTGGCCAAAACTGCTAAACTGTGATGTATCAAACAGGTTTTCCTCCTATCCACTCCAAAACCTACTGAAGTTAGCCAACGTGTTTCTGACTGGATATTCAAAATTTCCCCAAAATGTCATGGGAGCATCAACAAGAGAGGCACAGGAGAGCCAAGTGAAAGACCATTCCTTAACACTTTGGTTAAAGTTCCATTGTTCATGGCAGTACACTTCAATACTCTGCAGCATCTATACAGGCAGTTTTTATTTAACCAGAGATCTTTTAACCAGATGAGAGCACACTGAAGAATGTATCTTCAGGTATAGATGCACTAATACATCTTCAACAATTCTCCTGTCAAACACCTACCCTGTTGGTAGGTTGATACCCTGATTGTTTGGTTAACAAAAGTAAAACAAGAGCATCACAAGCTATTCTACCTTATGGTCCTTTCATGGTTCAAGAATCAAGAAAGTAGCCTTTCTGGAGAAGGCTTTGAGAGTCTACATGCACGTGGGCAGTAAGCACAACATCAGTCTGTCCTTTGTCTGAGGCTCTAAACACTGGCAACACAAACACTTAAGAGGTAAGCATAATATTTAAAAACTAAAATGTGCAAAATAATGCTAAACAAATTTTTCATCTACTATTTGCACGTGTTATAAGGTCATAAATATGCACCTACGGAATCATCTTGATGCATAAAGTAATTAATGTGACCAGATATTTCAAAACTTTTATATTACTAGCTACATCATTTTTCCCCTGAGCATTAACGTTTTATATTATCAGTAATTCAATGCCAACATCTGAACTGCCAAATCTCAAGTCAAAGGCTAGAACATAACATTCTCTTATTTGCATTGTCACTTAATATTTAAGGGCAGCTGCTGACTTTAACATACTTGCAGTATAAAAATGCTTAAGAAAACTCATCTAAAATATTCAGAAAAATGTTTGTTAATTGAAGCAGGACTAATTATTAGCTTAAAAAAATAGAGCAATCTGATGTCTGAAGTCAACAATCAGCAGAACCCAGCCTTTATTTTTGAACTGTATTTTACCTCCTAACATACCTGAAAATTAACTCTGTGATGAATAACAGCATCTCTTTAAAATATATTCTAGTGGCTGACTGAACACTTATACGCAAATATACACAAGTGAGGTCTACACAAGTGCTGCAGAAGAATCTTTTGATGTGTATTTCTCAGAAGACAGAATGAGTTCTATCTTTGAAAAGTATGGAAAAAAACGGGCTAATAATATCCTCTGTAGTGTATGTGGAAGTAATAGGAGAAACATTTTGCAGCATTAATGTTATCATTTCTAGGCTACGGAGTCAAATTTTCAAGACATGAAAACAAATGCGTCACAAAAACACACACAAACATTTCAGTCAGATTAAACAAATTCTGCTCCCACGCACACCCAGACATACATCTTCACCACCCCAATCCCCTTAAAAAAAGAAATTTATAGAAGCTCGGTCAATAGGTTTTACATGAGAAAAAAAAAAAAAAAAAACAAAACATTTCAGGTCATCAGATAACTCAATAAAATAGAATCTTAAAAGAAGTAAGAAAGCATGAATAAAAATATATACAACGATTTCTTGTGTAGTCAAAGTATCAGCATTTTCCATATAGAACATCCAATATTTTGCTGCATTTTAATTAAGGTGTCTAAACATTATCACAAAGAACTGCAAATTGGTCAGAGCACGCAGTAAGGAAAATTAAGCTCTAAAGGCTTTTTATCACCATATTTCAGGAACCAAGGGTGTAAAATGTTCTAATTTGGGATATATTAAAAGCCATAAAAGGTCTTTCAAAAAGATTAATGGTACTTTGCTTGGATTTAAGATAAGGGCTTTAGCTGGTTGGAAAAGCAGGGCCCTGGCTAGACCCTTGAGGCATTCATCTTTACAGCCACTTGGAAGATTTGTAAAAGCGTCTGCATAACCTCAAGCAAACGCACTGCGACATTTTTTTTTTTTTTAAATTCCTTTCAATTTTACAGGTTTAAAGTGTGTAAATCATATTGGGTAGTAAAGCTGATAGAATGGTTCATCCTTGTAACATAATATATATGTTTTTAAGACAAACTTAAAAAACAACTTAGCCTCTGCAGTTCAAAGACCTTTCCATTTTGAAGTTGACCAATAATGTCAAATATCTTACTGCAGATGTTTAACGTAGCATAAATGAAAATTCCTTATCCATTATTTTTCATAAATTTTCTACTCATCTGAAATTGTTACCTTGTAACAAATTTCTGAAGCTTTGCTTCTTTTTGAACAGTTTCAAGGCATTTATTTAAAAATACCAATTATCATACTTTAACTTTTTATGGAATACCGGGTCTCTATGAAAAATATTTATGCCATTCTCTTTTGTTCTTTAATTAAATGAAAACAGATGTTTTCTGAAGTAAAGCGGAACCATTATTGGAGTACTTAAAGTGTTAAGGTCTTTAATTTTTATATCAGTTTGGTCTACAATTCCTGATTGTCTTTACTCAAGCTCAACATTAATGTCAAGCAAGTTACCTAGGAGACGAAAGAGATCAAAGAGACAAAAAACCCTCAAATGTCTGATTAATCAAGCCTGCAAACAGCTTATTTCTTTTAGCCTGCATGCAAGTATGAAAATGAGATTCTGGGAGCCGTACATTGTGCAGATTTGTTCATTCTTATCAGAACAAAGCCAGCGGCAGCTTATTTCATGGATCATTGGCACTGTCATCAGTGCTACACAGAACGGGTGACAGCTCCTCATTTTGAGGCTTGAACAAAATTAGCAAAAAGTCGGCACAAATTAGCCTCTCATCTTTTTAGTAATATGACATTATTCATTTACTTTTTATCCAATTTTTAATTTTTTCCTTGTCAGCTATCCCTTTCTAGTGTTTCTTGCACAGCATCATAAAACACTTTTAAAACAAGAAAAGAAATGGCTGAAGTTGAAATAGTATGTAAACTTCAGGCAGAAGAGTAAACAATCTTATGAAGTTGCAACAGAATCTACTGTAACTTCCAGTAAACTTCCTTGAAAAAATATCAAGACTTTTAACATTAAATATCACAAGGCAAAGACTTTACATTAAGATAGGACTGTGCAATGTAAATGCTGAATGATACAAGTAATGAGACTGATTCAAGAACTGCTCCAGAAATATTTAGGTATGGTATACAAAATGCTAATCCTACAAAAGCTCTAACAAAACATCTATATTCAAACAGGTCCTGAAATATCCTATGATCATACCAGAGAAGCCAAACAGCTTTTAATACAGTGTTACAGTTTCTCATCAAATATGAATCTAGTTATTTCAGGCTTGCCTTTAGCAATGATTTTCTCCTTTTATGTTATGGAATGTTATCCATTGCTGACGTATATAAAATATATAAAGCAAACAAGAATACTGAGTGGATTTTGCAGGGGAAATTGCCCCCTTTCAGTGCTGTGCTCAACTTCCACTGTAAAATACTTTGTAATACCTTTGTTGTATTTTTATGCTGTGTATTACAACATCAAATTATATTTGGATGACACAGTAATGGAAGCAAGGACAGAAAACTGTTCTAATGTTAAGCTCTTTGCTATATTTAAACATTTAAATTCAAGAAACTTCTTCCATTCATGAGAAAACACAGCATTAAAAAATTAACTATAAGCTGTTAGATGCTTTACACAGGCCCCTTATAAGAAAGGCAGTTTTAAAAAAAGAACTGTAGTACTGTTTTCAGCAATTTCTTTATCTCTGTTCTTCTAAGTAAGAAAGCTTATTAACAAGCTTTGAACTTAAAATCACATTTACAATAATGTGCCATCAACAGTTTTATAAGCTAATTAGAAAAAAAGATTAATTAATGACTGGCTGCTAATAAAATGGCAATCATGAAGAAAGAAACCAAGGGTGCTAAGCTTCAACTACCACCAATTAAGAGCTAATTACAAACAAATTATATATGTGTTTTGCTGTGGGCTTTAATTTACTAAAATGGTTTTAATTAAAAGAGAAAACATGCTGATTAATTGAACTGCAGAAAAAATCTACAGTATAAACTGTGCTTTGTCTGTCTCTTTAATTAGACTTGTAACATCTGAAATCTTTTTTTAA